TTGGCGCAGGATAGAGCAGGGTTTAGGGCTGTTGTGCATAGGGTCGCTATGAGTCGCAAATGACTCGACGGCACATAACAACAACAACAACCCTGTGTAACAGGGAGCTCATGGCCTAGTGGTAAGAAGCTATACTGCAATCTCAAAAGCTCTCAGTTCAAATCCAGCAGCGGCTCAAAGGAAGGATGGGCAGGCTCTTCCCTTTTGACTTACTGTTTGTGAAAACTCAGTAGAGGGTCAGCTATCAGTCGGTTCCAATTCTGACTTCAATGGCACACAATAACAACACCACTCTGTGTATTAATTAGTACTGGCAGACATTGCCAAGCAGTTAATGTGTGTTACCTAGTTTAACCTTGCTAAATCCCCATGCCGTTGTTATTATCATCACTCTTTTACTAGTGAGAAAACTGAAGTACAAAGAAGTTGCTTGAGATTGCTTAGCTTGAAAGTAGTTGAGGTGCATACCCAAGCAGTCTGATCTAGAGACTATACTCTCCAATACCGCCTCCTATCTATAAGTTAAAGTACTGCATTACCTACTATGAGAGAGTCAAGAGTTACTAACAGTTTTACTTAGAAGGAAGAAACTATAAACTTTTGTATATTGAGCTTCAAAGAGCAGACAGATCAGTTTTTGAGAGATGAGCAAGACTGAATGACTTAAACCAGAAATGTTGGTAGCATATGAACCAAGATATTTGGAGAAGTTGAGATGAGAGAAAAGTAGGAAGTTTATTACATCCAAAGATAGTGACTCAAGGAGGATGCTTTGCTTGAGAGGATGGCCTACATGCATGTCTGTCCCATGTAAGTCTAGGGACTGGTGCCACCCAGTTTGCAATACTTGGAGATGGAGTCATTTCCGCTCAAAGCTCATGGCTGAGATTGTGGCGTTTAGACAGGGAAGTGGCACTCCCCCACTAAGAATCCCGGATTGTGGGCAAAGGAGTGATTTGATGTCGAGGGAGCCAGTTAACGAGAGTCACTGCCTACATCAGAATTAAGACTGTGGACAGCCATCAAGTACTCAATTAAATGAGTGACAGGAATGACCTCTGTAGCTTCTGAAATTACCTCATATTTACCTCATTCAGGTTGTAGCCTTACAGCTTTTGAGGATTCTTTTGCCACTGCTCTGTCATCAGAGTTATAATGGAAAGGACTATTAGCATAAAGCTAAACAAACATTATTTAGCAGATAATTGTGTGCCAGCCTCTCCTATTTATGTTTATCTCAATCTTTGTGTTTCCTTTTATTGATGAAATTCTGAGAGAGGGCTTCATAATGTGCTCTGAGCTGTATAGCTCATTAGAGTCAGTGCTTTCCTATACAGACTTGATGATACTTGGCTCCCTCATAGGTCTCTTCTCCCAGGACTGTTGGCTGGCTGAAAAGGGTGATGGGGCCTCGCTTTCTCTAGCAGAAGGAAGTGCAGGCTGATGGTTACTTTTTCCTTTCTAGAATCATCGCAATGATGAGTCCAGAGGACAGCTGGGTCTCTAAGTGGCAGCGAGTCAGTAAGTGTCTTCCCATCTCTTTACCCTCCAGTGGTGGTGGTGGTTCCTCAGGTCCAGTGGGGGTGGGGGGCATTGAATGTACAGTGAAGTGAGTAGCCTCAAAGTGGGGAAGAAGTGTTTGTGGGAAAGAGAAAAGTAATCCTTGCTCTCTCTCCTTCCAGGGGAGGTTATTCTTCTTAAAGTTGTATCTCTTTCACTTTTGGCTTAAGCTTCTTTTTGGTGTTTCATCTAAACCCACATCATTTGCAGTCTTTTTATTTCTTTTCTCAGGTAATTTTAAGCCAGGAGTGTATGCAGTGTCAGTTACTGGTCGCCTGCCTCAAGGTAATAATAAGCATAATTATAGCTAATAGAATAATACGATAATAATAATCACAATAACAAGCTGTGAAAGGCCTTTATCTAAATTAGTGACAATCCTTATGTACCTGATGTACCGAGCAGGGAACCAGAGCAAACAGGGTCAATAATTTGTCCAAAGTTTACCCAGCTTGTAAATGTTGTTGGTTGTTACATGCCATCGAGTCCCCTGCGACCCTACATACAGCAGCTCCAAACCCTGCCCCGTCCTAACCCAGTCTTACTAATTCCAGCATACCAACCCCCATTGTCCTAGTTATTATATCAGTCAATCTCATCCGGTGTATTCCTCTCCTGCACTGTCCCTCCATCCTTGCAAGCATGATGTCCTTCCCCAAGGACTGGTTTCTCCTGGACACATTCCCACAGTATGTGAGATGGAGCTTCAAAATCCTAGCTGCCAAAACAAAACTTGGTTTCACCTTCTCCAAAACATAACTATTTGTTTTGCTAGTAAATGAGGAGCCAGAATTTTAATCTGGGCATTCTTGCTCAGAATCCTTCCTATTGATGACTGCAATAGATCCCTTTTTCTTCCTTTTTTTACCACACTGTTGCTTGCCCCATACCTGGCTGGATTTTCCGGGGTGACAATGCAAGCAGGAAAGACTATTGGTGAGCGGTGTAGTAGCTCCCGTTTGTTTATAGCCCCCTCACGGTGGCAGCTGAGGAGTCCTGTCCATCTGAATGTTCTCAAAGCTGTTTCTGTTTCTATCACAGGAATCGTGCGGGAGCTGAAGAGTCGAGGTGTAGCCTACAAATCCAGAGACACAGCCATAAAGACCTAAGAAGATGCAGGATTGCTGGCATCTTTGCATCCCACATGCTGCCTCTGCCTTTTTCCATTTGTGGAACCAAATGAGCAGAACTTCAAATCCTCCCAAGCCTCCAGCTTATGAGACACACAGTGTTGAAAGAGCAGCACCATGTGTCCCTAGACCATTATACTTTTTTTGGTCAGGGGGAAGGGTGCGGGGGTCTAGGTTGTTAGGTTGACAAGAGTGACTGGAGGAGGAAATGCTGCCGGTTTTCCTACCCATAGTCCAGGGCTCCTCCTTTGCCTGTGGGGTGGACCTTGTTAGCCAAATGCCAATAAACATGAGCACCTGAGAAGTTCACATGCCTTGCTTCCCTCTTCTTTTCTCTTGACTGAAGCCAGTGTTGATGCTTGCCCTGTCCACTGTCTTGGACAGTAGTAGATGCTTTCTGCTCTTGTTGCTGGTTTCTGAGTCCCTGGGATTGTAGTCTCTAGTGTCCATCATAGGATTGAATTGGAAGCTTGCTGCCCGAGTTAGCTAACCTCATCAGTCCTGGTGTCTAGTTGTTGTATTCTTTCTGCCCTCCAGACCTGACTTAGCGGGTATCCCTTGAAATCATGATGCTTTTTATAGTGTTCTTTGTCCTTTAATCATGGCTGATATTTCTTCTTTTTACTTCTCTTTGTTTACGTAGCCAGCAGTAGCTCCCAGGGCCCTCACACTCGCCACATTTCCTAGTTCCTTGTTCCCTAGCTGGAGGTCCTTGCTACTTAGATCATTGCTAAGTCTTGGTCTGTCTGGTTTGTGTACAGCCTTACGGGGTGTCACATTATTGACTAAGACGATTTACTGGTTTGGGGATAAAAAGTCATCTATATTTATAAAATCATCTTATGCTCATTATGATTTCTCATCCATCCTTTTTCCCCCATCTGTAAAGTAGAGGGATGATTACATGCTGCCTATTAACCTCAAAGTTAACGTTTATACAAATTAAGCAGTGTGAAAAAACTTCATAGAAGGTAAATATAAAAGTCTTCTGAAAAGATTCTTTTTTCTCTCTTTGTAGTAACAGCAATAGCAGGTATGTTGTTGATTTAAGTTCATTTTTCTGACTCATCCCAGAAAACTCAGACCCACTGCCATCAAGCTGGTTCTGACTCACAGCAGCCTTGTAGGATAGAACAGAACTACTCATGGGGTTTGCAGGTCTATAAATCTGTATGGATGCAAACTGTTACGTCTTTCTCCTTACAGTTAGCTGAATGTTTTACCCACAGTGCCAACAAAATTCCTCTTTTGACTTATTAGCGACCCTGTTTATGTGCCGTAAGTGGAACAAGGCTGCACCATCCTCTCCGTTGTTGCTGGGTTTGAGCTGGTTGGAGCCATTATGTCAACTCATCTTGTAGAAATCTATGTATTCCTTTCCCTCTGCTTTACCAAACACCATATCCTTCACCAGAAACTTGGGCAAAGTATGACGCTTATGTCTCACTATCTTTCTTATATTAATTTGAATGAAAGTTTACAGAGACAGGGTTTCCATTCATTCATTATTGCACTTTCCTCCCTGCCCGCTCCCTTCCCCCCCAATTCGCTCTTCTCTTTGAAAGGTAAAAGAAAAATTCTTTGTTACACAATCCCTCTCCTCAAATCCACTCCACTGTGCAGCCTTCATTCTGGACTCCTATCATGACAATAATACCTAATCATCCCTTTTAAACAGTTATCTCCCTCATCTGTTGTAATGCAGTACACATTATTTATCCCATCTTTCTCAGTTTTCCCTCAACCTCGATGTCAGTCCCATTTTAGAACAGTGGCACTATGCAGTATATGTTCTTTTGTTACTGAGATACTTCACTCAGCATAATGTCCACCATCTTTCTAAGAAATGTTGTGGCTATACTTTTTCCAAGATGAATTTGTTCTCTTGGCAGTCCCTGGAGTGTTCAGTGTTATTCCTCAACATAATTCAAAGGTCAATTCATTTCTTCAGTCTTTATAATTGTTGAGCTTTTTTTTTGTGTATCTGAGTCAATACCATGGCTTGAGTCAAGTACACCTAGTTTTCAAATGACCTATTTGCTCTGTGGACGTCTTTTGCAACAGATTCACCCAGTGTAATACTTTAGTTTCTTGGCTGTATGGTATGTGTGTACACAAGGACACAGCCAAAATAATGGGGAGGAAACATCTTGAGAACCCAGGAGGTGCTGAGTTCTGCCTGTAGCAGAGGTACCTGCACTGGAGCTTTCTTCCCACCTGGTGTTGCTAGTGAGTCAGTTTCTCTTGTTACCTGAGTTGTGAACTGTTAGGAGAGAAGCCAACTTTAATGTTCTCTCACCTGCCTTCATAGGAAGGAAGCTGGGACTGACTCAGATTGCTGCTGCCACTCACAGGTCCTCCTCAGACCAGCACCATTTTCTCTGCTGCCTTTAATCTTTTGTTAATCCCAGTTTTAAACAGAATTTCAAGGATTTTTTCCAGCTCCGCAAACTGAAAGCTCTCTGGGTGGAGGTTCCTGCTGCAGGTCAGACAGGTTCAAATGGCAATCTAAAAGGAGGCTTAGGTAGCAGCCTGTACAGGCTAGAGCTTTCATCCTGAAGGGAGAACGTGGATTTCAGCAAGAGTGCCTGCGTGGTCCAGCCTACGCCCAACTTTCACTGGCTTTCTCAAAAAGTCCCTTGGAAAGCCCCAGCTGCTGTCCTGCGTGTGTGACCCGGACGTGGCTGCTTGGTGAGAATGGAAACAGTTGCGGGGAGGGGTGGCAAGAGGTTCTGTGCTCAAATAACCACACGGCCTGCCTCAGCCCTGCAGATCTGGAGCTCTTAACTGTCAGTCTCGCAGGAAGCGAAAGACAAGCACCAGTGGTTGAGGGGGAGGGTTGCAGTGACTTCTAGATTCCACAGACTCCTGTGCCAGATGGGCTGCTCCTGGGAGCTGCTCCTGATCAGCTTCCCACCTGGACCTCTAACCGCCATGTGGTGCCTCTGAGCAGCCCACACAGAAGCAGTGACAGAGTGCAAAGTCGTCCATTGGGGCCCACAGAAGCTGAAGCTAGTAACTGCTGCCCCACATTCAGCAGCCATGTGGGCCATAGTGATTTTGTGTGCTGAGTCTGTCTACCCAGAATTTAGGGTATCATGCTCCATATTTGACTTCAGTAAAGCAAGACTTCTGCCTAGTTCAGTAAAAACAGATTCAAGTCAGACACTAGGATCAGAGCTGCCTCCTCCTTGCCTGCTGTCCCCTGTATTTTTTAATTATTCCCCAAACACTCTGCTTGCTCATCACATACTAAGTCTAGAGCCCCTTTCTCCAAAACTCAGGTAAACCACTAAATGAATTGAGCCTTTAAAGCAGGGATCAGTAGTTGATAGATAAAAGGGTCAGAGGTTTTAGGCTTGGAGGAGAGTATTTTCTCCAAGAGCATGGAAGATGGGCTGAGTTTTGTAGACTCTGACCTTATCGGCATGGTCACTGTGTTTTCATTTCCAGCCCTGTCTGCAATCTGCTCCTCCCTCCTCAAGCCCGTGCTGTATTACCGTTTGCCACACAGTGTAGGTGTCTTGGAGCCTTAGTAGCAGAGCATGTTATGTGTTGGACTGTTGACTGAGAAGTTGGTGGTTTGAAACAGCCACTCAGCAGAAAGATGAGGCGGTTTGCTCCTGTTAATGTTTACAGTCTCAGACACTCCATGGAGGTTTGCCATGAGTCCTGATCAGCAGCAGTGGTTTAAGAATATCTTTGTGTCTGAGGGAAGCTCTGGTGATCTAGTGGATAGGGATATATGCTGCCAACCCAGGGCGAATGGTTTGCATTCACCAGCTGCACTACGGGAGAAAGTTGACAATCTGCAATTTACAGTCAGAAAACTGTTGGAGGGTCAGCTGTGAGTCAATTCCAACTCCATGTTTTTAGTTCTTGGTCTGGAAGCAAGATTAATGTTTATCGGTAATGCCTTTCATTGGAGCATCATTATACAGTTGCTAAAAGGCTCTCAGCTATTATATGATCCTCAGCAACTCTTTGTGTCATAGTTAGCATTGCTATTTAGTGCTGAAAATACTGAGGCTTAAAGAGTTAAAATGATTTCGCCACAGTTCAAAAGCCCTAGCTATTTAGCTATTTCTTTCTATCGAGCAGTGCATTGCCCATGCTCTGAGAGGGCTGCTGAACCATCTGAGTTGTACCGAGAAGTAGCAGATTGGCTTCCTTTTATGCACACACAGACCTGAAAACAAAACAGCCATTTTTGAGTGAAAGTTAATGTCTCTGCACTTAGAGCCACATGAACTAGCTCACTCCCTCCACCTACATCTCTAGCCCACAAGTCTAAAATTAGCTGTGCAGAGGGAGGAGATCCTGCTTACTCAAGAATCTTTGTGCAGAAAATTGGGAAATGGATCCAGCTCTTCCCAGATTTCACTCTGCTGAATGTTCCATTCTATCCAGCAACTCTTTGGTACCCACTCCCAAGTGCCCTCCAAATCTCTTCATTTGTTTTGTTCTTCCTTCTCTCTCTACCTGCATATCTCCCCTTAATCTTTCCATCTGCAGCCTAGTTATAGGGTCTTTATATCCCATTGTGACACCAAGACTGTCTCTAAGTATGATCAAAATACATACTCTTCTATGGGCTAAGACCCTATTTCCCAGCTCTACCTTCATCATTCACTACCCTAGGTGACTTCCAGGTTACCTTGTTTCTACAAAACCAAGTTTCTCTCAAGTGCAATTTACAAAGCAACAGGAGACATTGAGACAAAGGCTGCTGGTTAAAGAAGAGGCGTGGAAGAAGGCACGAAAGGGTCTAAGAGGCGTGGAAGAAGGCACGAAAGGGTCTAGGGCTTTGATGTTACTTGATTTCTTAATTTGGTTTCAGGGAGCTCTGTAGTCCCTAGGAAGTTGCACTGCAAACTCAAGGACCATGCCTCTGGCTGTTCAAATCCACCATTGGCCCTGCCAGAGAAAGATGAGCAATCTCCTCCTGCGTGATTCACATACTCAGAAACCTGCTAGAT